GTAATTTCACTTAATTTGTTTGGTACATATGTCACTATGAAAAATTTATCCATGTTACTTGCTATTGAAGTTGAGAGAAGAAATAAAAAGAAGAATTTCCATGCCTTAGTAACTAGTCCTACTCCACCTGAACCATATAAATTGGGTGAGAAACCCAAACCCAAATTCCAAATTCCAAAAGGGAAAGGGTAAATGGTTCAAAAAGAATAACTTTAACAAAAGAAGAAAATAACTTGTTATAATTGTGGAACTCTAGGTCATTCCAAATATCATTTTCATCAAAAGAAACAAAAGCCTTGTACTAACACCAAGGACATAGTTTGTGTGGTTTCAGAGTCGTTCATTGCTGATTCTGATTTGAGCTCGTGGTGGATTGACCTGCTAGTCCATGATCACCCCTAGTTCTTTTACATTTTCATGAATTTAATATATTTTAGATTAATGTGATTTATTAATTTAACTCAAGTAAATAATAACATTTTGTAAGTTACTATTCTATAGGGACCATTTTTCCATGTAATAGTAAAACATTAGATTTCCGGTTCAAGTATGAAAGAGAAGCAACTTTATGCATAAGTAAGGGGATAATTACTTATATACCTTGAGGTTTGTAGAAACTACTTATATGTACCTTGTTGACCTTTCAAATGTTAAATCCAACCTATGAAACTTAAAAGGAACCAAAGTGTCCTTAATTGTTCATTAAATTTTCAAAACATGTCTTTCTTTTTTTTCTTCTCTTCTTTTCCTCCTCTCCTTCTTAGGGGATATTTGGTTCCGTTGGCGTTATTGAAAAAGCGCTACCACATCAACACTACATAGGCATTGGGATTTATTATAGATGAAGCAAAATGAAATGACTGTTTGGTTTCACTATTTATCAAATAAATGGTAGAAAAGTGAAACATTTTGATTTTTATGCATGGAGCACGTGGGGAAACTTCAAATTCTTGTTTCCCCCAATGCCCCAACGTTTTTTTAAACCAAATGATGATGTGACACACTTTAATGGGTATTAATCTGAGATGGAGAGTAAAAAACATTTAAAGTGAAGTTCAACCAAACAACAAAAACAAGAAACATATAAAGTAAAAAGTACAAATAAATGGCCTATCCATAAATGCTAATTAGGGGTGTAAACGGAGTGAATTTGAATCGAATCAAATTTTCTTCGAATTCAAAACCGATTAAATATATAGATATTTGAATTCGATTCGATATCCGACAGTTTTTTGAAACAATATACCATATTCGAATTTGTTGGGATAATCGAATATTCGATTTCGATTTAAAAAAAAAAAATCTCTCCAACTTCATCACATGAGGAAGAAGAAGAAACTTGATTAGAAGATTATTCTCTTTCTCTATTCATCTAACTTCCAAAAAACAAAGAAAAAATAGATACAAAAAATGAACTATAACCATCTATTTAGTGTTACTACGTTGATATGCCCTACAACAAGCATCGCCGGTGGTGTAATCTACAACAGAGAAATCATCGATTGCCATGTTAATGCCTTCTGCAACATACATGAGAAAGATGGATAAAAGAAAAACAAGAAAGCCATTGAGAAATGAATATTCAACAAGAAAAACTCAAATACACAAAATAATGGTAAAAAAATAGGAAAAATGGATGCTACCGATTAAAGTTTCAAAGGACTCGCCGGAGAGAAACATTGAGCAAATGTAGAGAAAAATGCTGAGAGGATGAACAGAGAAGAAGAAAGAAAGTAAAGCTGAAGTTGTCTAAATCGGTAAAGGTACAAACTAATTAATGAAACCCACAACTTTTGATAAAAATATTAAAATATTATTTAAAAATCATCATAAAAGTTGTCTTAATTCAACCTTTTATTATTAAAATAATATGAAAGAAAAATTAGTCAAAAATCATCATTCGTTGTGATGACTAATACTAACATCAATGTGTATATATATATATATATAATTTATATTTTATAATATAATCGAATCAAATTCCCATCAAATTCGATTCGATAAGTTTATCGGTAAAGAAATGTTATTCGAATTCAACCGTTAATAATATTTGGATAATCCGAATTCGATTTGAATAGGTTAAATCTCGAATTCGAATTTGGATTTTCGAATATTGTTTACACCCTTAACGTCAATGGAACTAAACACATACTGATTCTCTTCTCCATGCTGCAAACACACTTGATTGAATCCATTTGCCCCATTTTCCCCTTAAAAAATCCAACCAATTTTTCCACTATCTAGTTTCTTAGGTGTGGCCCTTGTAAAAAATTAATCTCCTCATTTCTTTTTCACCTGAAAAACAATCAATTGGTGGGGAAAAGGAGGAAGGAAGAAGGATGAGAGAGAGAGAGGATGGGGAAGAAAATGGCACAATAAAGAAAACAAAGACGAAAAGAGAAGAAAATGGGGGTAAAAATGAGATCATAAAAAATTTTGATAGCCATATGAAATGGCCATAAATGTTGTCTTAACAAATGGCCTATTTGTGTTATTCAGGGCCATCTATTCTTAACTTGGGGTATGGTGTGGTTGATTGTTGGTCTCTTGGTAGAAATAGGGGTTTAACTTCTATCTCCCCCAAAGAGAGGGCTACCCTCTTTACAAACAAATAAAACAAAGTTAAATTTTAAGCAAAGACATCGCTTATAGGAAAACTGATGAAATGATCCACTCCATGAACAAAAAAAACAGGGAAGTTTAAGTATTATAGATTGACATAAAAAAAAAAAAAAAAACTTATGATAGTTTGAAATTGGGATTCAACATAATGGTTCTTTCTTCACTAAGGCTATATGTTTGGTTTGAAGGAAAAAGTAGGGAAAAGAAGGGAAAATTTTTCCAAATCTTGTATAGATTCCCTACCTTTCCCTTTCTTTCCCTATATTTTTTTTCAAACCAAACATAGCCTAAAGGACAAGGTACTCAAATTGTCAAAATCAACTTCAATGCTCACAAGATTGTGCTCACTCCATTTGCACAATTCCTTGCAGCCTTGCATTGGAGATATGGAAATGTCTCCCCATGAAAGAACATACAAGTACGAAGATATTTCTAATGCAAGGCTACAAGGGGCTGTGCAAACAATCTTGTGAGTATTGAAGTCGATCTCCAATTCGTAGGTGTGCCCATGGTTCGGTCTATGGGCCTTTTTGGTAATTGAATCGGTAACTGAAACTAAATCGAAGCCAATCGGTTTGTCAATTTTTCAGTTTTTAAATATTTATAATATATATTATAAATATATATAGTATTATATTTTAAATAATAAATAATATATCATATATATTATAAATATATATTTATATATAATGCATGTTTATTAATTTATAATATATATCATATAATATACATAAATACAAGGTTTTAAAAACTGACCTAGAAACGGAACCATTATGGCCACCAGTTTCCGGGTCAACGGTTTGATCGTCCGGGTCAAATGGTTCGAACGGTTTGAGCATCTTCCCATTAGATTGGAATATTAAGGTAAGATGCATACTATATAAGAGAAAATAAGGGTTGAAAGTTGGAAGAAAACTGTCCACTAAACTGAAAGAGTTTAGAAGAAGTAGAAGAAGAAGAAGAGGAGGAGGACTTGTAGGCTTGCAGCGACGATGACAACAGTGATGGCGAACTACAGTGGCGACGTTCTCAGTCTTAGATCTCACACTCTCTCTCTCACCTTCTCACGCAAGAAAGACAGATATGAGATTTATCACTAAGATTTCTCAATCTCATAGATTTCTTAGATATGAGATTTCTTATATATGAGATTTGAGCAGCAAACTATTCTCTGGGTCGAATGGTTTATCGGTTAAACCATCTGGGTCAATGGTTCATTAACTAATTCAACGTTTTTGACCAAATGTCGGATTTGGGGTAAAACGGAACCGGTCACTTGAACGGTTTGACTATCTAGGTCAACGGCGGTTTGAAAACATTGCATATATATATATATAATATAATATAATATAATGTCATATAATATATATAATATATAGAAATATATGTATACCGGTCGATTTTCTATATTGGTTAACCACAACCGAACGAATACCTTCAGTTTTTTTTTAAAACACCGAACCGAAATTGAACTGACTAATTTGGTTAACCAATTTTTCGGTTCGGTTCGATTGATCTTTTTTTGGTCAATTTGGTTTCTCATTTTTTTTTGGCTCACCCCTACCAATTCGGCTAGTTCAATTGTTATTAAAATGGCCATATGAGCTCACAAAAACGTTGTGTACACTCATCTATAGTTGCACATTGGGAACCATGCTTTTCAAAACCGAACTAGACTGGACGATCGGATTGGAAAAAACGGGCTGGTTCTGTTTACCCCAAAACGATTACTTTGTCAAAAAACCGTTGATTTGGTCAGCAAACCGCTGACCCAAGTGGTCAAACTGTTCGAATTGTCCAACGCTTTTGTCTATTTTTTTTGTGGCCATCCATTTGGTTCAAACGGTTGGACCATTCAACCCGAGAATCAGACTTGACTGGTTTGTTGTCTGGTTCGGTTTTAAAAACCTTGTTGGAACATCTCACCATGAATCAACGTTTTAAAAAATGACCCAGAAATGGAACCGTTATGGGCACCGGTTTCCAGGTCAATGGTTTGACCATCCGGTTCGAACGAACGACCCGTTGTGATAACAAAATTAAAAAAATAAAAAACAGTAAAAAACCGTTGAATGGGTTGACGGTTTGAGCACCTGGATCAATGGCTTGTTGACTTTTTTAACGATTTTTGACCAGATTCCGGGTTTGGGGTAAAACGGAACCGGTTGCCTGGACGGTTCCCGGGCCGAACGATCCGACCGTCCGGGTCAACGGCGGTTCGAAAACGTTGCCATGAATGACTTGAGACGTTTTAAGGTGCACACGGACGTGGCCAGTGGCCAGCGGCAGTGAGCAGATTCGAGATCAACGGGTTGGCCCCTGGCTGAGCAGGACCAGGTATGTGTCAGCCCTAGTTCTTATGCGACTCAAGCAAAAGGATATTCTCCAAGCCTCCACTCCAATAAAACACTCCTCTAGTCCTCTCTTTTGTGATTAGGGTTTTGCGTCTCGGTCAGCTAGCTCTCTAGTGCTCCACTACTTACATTTCCCCGCACTCTCTGCAATGGCCGTCTCCTTCTCAGATCTACACACCGAAGGTGGTCTTAAGTCTCTCGAAAACTACCTCTCAGGGAAACCTTACATTTCCGGGTACTTTTCTTATTTCACTTTACAAAACTTATTAGATTTGAATTTATGGTGCTATTTTGATTTCATTACCGAGTGTTTATTTGCTTAGTTCTCAGCATAGTTTTTTATTTCGTTGTGCTATTCGTGTCTCAATTTATTCGCTGTGTACTTCATTCATGCTTTGATTGTTAATGGAATTTGTGTTTTAACTAAATTTCTTCATTTTTTTTTTTTACCGTCGTTATCGATTATTGTGGGTATCTTTAGAGTTCAACTTACGAGAGACAATATCAAAGTTTATCAAAAATTTGAGTTTAAACTAAATTTCGTTTTTTTATTGCGGGCATCTTTAGAGATCAACTTACGAGAGATGATATCAAGGTTTATGCGGTTGTTCCAGAGAAACCCAGCAATGCGTTTCCTAATGCCAGTCGGTGGTACGATTGTGTTTCGTCGCATCTCGCTGCAAGGTCTGTGATTCTGACTGTCTTCCTTGTATTTGCCATTTTAGTGGGATTTTATGTTCTAGGTCAACAATTAAAGGTCTGCTCATAAAAAATAAATAAATAATTTGTTTTTTGAAACACAATTTTAGTGGGACTTTATAGAGCAAGAGCCTCTTACTGGCATCTCTGGCCCTTCCATGGTAGGATTTGTTGCAGGAGAGGGGAGAATGCAGTTATAAGTGTGTACATTGTTTTGTTAATTTGTTTCTATCGGACTTCTGTTTTGATATTCATCTCTTGATTTTTGATTTTTGTTGTAGATGTGTGGTTTTGCTTTTGGAACTCAAGCCCAAGTTTGAGTTCTCTGGCTTTCTCAGTCTGTTAATTCATTTTCTACTTCTTGTCCATGATTTTCCATTGTTCTTGAAAGCCCACAACGCATTTTGGAGATTTGAATGTGTATCTTCTCCATTATCGTGTTCTTAGTTCCTTTATTTAAATAATTTGTCTTTATTAGTATTTTTCCAATACTCGATTAGAATGCAAGATAGCTTCTTGTCTGGATCTTTAATGCTTTTTATGATTCAGGCAACTAAACTGTTAAAAACTTGCTATATTACTGTTCCAGTTTCACTCACCTGAATCTGATCCACTGATTTTTCAGGCCCTTTACTACTGGTACAATCCTTTTGATGCCCATATGTCGTTATTTTCCTGATATTAATAACTGGTTTGTTTTGTATATATATATTTTTTATTTTCTTGAAGAATGTTTTATGTACACTTTTTCTTTTGCTTTCTTGGTTCCATTCTTTGTCAGATTGGGCATTCTAGTATAAGTTCCCAACCGGGGACTTCAAAGGATCTTTAAATAGTGACTGTCTGTTGAGACGTTTGTTTGTTCTCCTGGTTTATTTAAACTCTGAGATTTCTGTTATTATACTCCTTTTTTCTTTTAAACTCCTCATTAATATGATAATGTTAATTGACATGGATGTTCATTGATATCAATGGTCTTTTGTTCAAAAGTTAAGATGCAATACCTAATCCTGTTAACCTTTTTCTACCCTTTTATTTATCTTTTTTTCCTTGAAATCTCATGCTTTACTTTTCTTTTATGATTTACTTTTTTCCCCAAAATTTCATTGATAACTTTTGAGTGCAAGCTAACTTCTTGTTTGAATCTGAACTATATGATTTAGGCAACTAAATGTCTAAAAACTTGCAATATTATATTTTCAGTTTCACTCATCTGACTCTGCTGATTTTTTGGGCCCTTTAATACTGAGACATTATTTTCTCTAGCTGTTTACCACTTATTGGATATGTCTTGAAGCTTTTCTTCCAGAAATTTATCTGAATTTTAGGTTCTTTTTAGTTTTATGCACTTCCTTTCATTAGTGACTTTGTGTTCCAAAAAACAGCTTTAAGGTTTTATTCATTTTTCATTGAAGAGCAACCTCAGGGACTCTTCTAATGTGCATTTGTCTTCAGATTAGGTCCTTTTTTATGTACATAACCTCAGGAACTCCCCTTTGTTTAATCTTCATATTAATTACTTAATAACTATAAATGATGGCAAACTCTCTTGTTGGTCACAAAAAATAGCAAATGCACTCTGTCCCAAAACCAAAACATTGAATGTTTTGTGGCAATTTCTTCATTTGCTACATTGACTATCCAATTTACTCATCTGTAAGATGATGAAGGGACTGGATCTATTGATCCTTCCCAGAGACCTTATTAGACACATGGTTGGATTACATGTTTTTTTCCTTTTCAATTGCCTATTGTTCAAGTTGGTAACTTACTTTGGATGGTGACAATGCATTCTCTTGCTGCTTGAGAAAATGGCAAATGCACTCTGTCCCAAAACCGATGTACTTAATGTTTTGTGGCAATTTCTTCATTTGCCATAGAGACTAGCCAATTTACTCGTCTGTAAGATGATGGGAGGTAGTTATCCTTCTCATTGATCTTATTTGACACATGATTGGATTACATGCCTTGTATTGATTGCTCCCCTTGTGAACTTCAATGCATTAAATGTTTAAACTGTATTAAATCTTAAAATGTATATGTTTGGAACACCGATCTTTGCTAGTAGCTTTACTGGAAACAGAGTGTTTTCATGGCACATTCTGACTTTTTTCTCCCTTCTATTTCATTTGGGACTTTGTTTGCAGATTTAATGTATGTTTTTCATTTCATGGAAGTAAATTGTTATTGTTTATTTAATAATCATCTTTTCTACTTGTAATTTTTTCTACATTCAATCAGAAAGCAAGGCAGCTTCTTGTCTGGATTTAAGCTCCCTTTATTCAGGCAACCAAAACTATTAGAAACTTGCAATATTGAATTCTCAGACACACTCGCCTGAATCTGATTGGGTGATTTTTCAGGCCCTATTTGTACTGGGATATGCTAGATTTTTCCTCAAAATGTCTCTCATTGAATTTTCATCTCTTGATTTTTGTTTTTTGTTGTAGATGTGTGGTTTTGCTTTTGGAACTCAAGCCCAAGTTTGAGTGCTCTGGTCTTCTAGGTCTGTTAATTCATTTTGTACTTGTTGCCTATGATTTTCCGTTGTTCTTGAAAACCCACAACGTAGTTTGGAGATTTGAGTGTATCTTCTCTGTTATTGCACTTCTAAGTTCCTTTATTTAATTCATTTGTCTTTCTTAGTATTTTTCCAATTCTCGGTTAGAATGCAAGGTAGCTTCTTGTCTGGATCTTTGATGCTTTTTATGATTTAGGCAACTAAACTGTTAAAAACTTGCTACATTACAGTTCCAGTTTCACTCACCTGAATCCGACTCACTGATTTTTCGGGCCCTTTACTACTGGTACAATCCTTTTGATGCCCATATATCATTATTTTTTCTGATATTAGTAACTGATTTGTTTTGTATATTTTATTTTTTTTCTTGAAGAATGTCTTCTGTACACTTTTCTTTTGTTTTATCGGTTCCACTCTCTGTCAGATAGATCATTCTAGTATAAGTTCCCAACTGGGGACTTCAAAGGATCTTTAACAAGTTACTCTGTTTGTTGAGACTGTGGTTTGTTCTTCTGGTTTATTTAAACTCTGAGATTTCTGTTATTATATTCCTCTTTTTTTCTTTAAGCTACTCATTAATATGATAATGTTAATTGGCATAATGGCAAATGCACTCCGTCCCAAAACCAATGTACTTAATGTTTTGTGGCATTTTCTTCATTTGCCATAGAGACTAGCCAATTTACTCGTCTGTAAGATGATGGGAGGTAGATATCTTTCGCAGTGATCTTATTTGACACATGATTGGATTACATGCCCTGTATTGGTTCCTCCTCTTGTGAACTTCAATGCATTAAACATTTAAACTATATTAAATCCTAAAATGTATATGTTTGGAACACTGATCTTGGCTAGTAGTTTTACTGAAAACAGTGTTTTCATGACACATTCTGATATTTTTCTCCCTTCTAGTTCATTTGGGACTTTATTTGCAGACTTAATGTATGTTTTTCATTTCATGGAAGTACATTGTTATTGTTTATTTAATAATCATCTTTTCTACTTGTAATTTTTTCTACATTCAATCAGAAAGCAAGGCAGCTTCTTGTCTGGATTTAAGCTCCCTTTATTCAGGCAACCAAAACTATTAGAAACTTGCAATATTGAATTCTCAGACACACTCGCCTGAATCTGATTGGGTGATTTTTCAGGCCCTATTTGTACTGGGATATGCTAGATTTTTTCCTCAAAATGTCTCTCGTTGAATTTTCATCTCTCGATTTTTTATTTTTATTGTAGATGTGTGGTTTTGCTTTTGGAACTCAAGCCCAAGTTTGAGTGCTCTGGTCTTCTAGGTTTGTTAATTCATTTCGTACTTGTTGCCTATGATTTTCCGTTGTTCTTGAAAACCCACAACGGAGTTTGGAGATTTGAGTGTATCTTCTCCGTTTTTGCTCTTCTTAGTTCCTTTATTTAATTCGTTTGTCTTTCTTAGTATTTTTCCAATACTCGGTTAAAATGCAAGGTAGATGTGTGGTTTTGCTTTTGGAAGTCAAGCCAAAGTTTGAGTGCTCTGGTCTTCTAGGTCTGTTAATTCATTTTGTACTTGTTGCCTATGATTTTCTGTTGTTCTTGAAGACCCACAACGTAGTTTGGAAATTTGAGTGTATCTTCTCCGTTATTGCGCTTCTTAGTTCCTTTATTTAATTTGTTTGTCTTTTTTAGTATTTTTCCAATACTCGGTTAGAATGCAAGGTAGCTTCTTGTCTGGATCTTTGTTTTGTATATTTATTTATTTTCTTGAAGAATCTCTTCTGTACACTTTTTTTCCTTGAAACCTTTTATTTATATTTGTTCCTTGAAACCTCATGCTTTGGCTTTCTTTTATGAAGTATTTTTCCCCAAAATTTCATTGTTAAGTTTTGATTGCAAGGTAGCTTCTTGTTTGAATCGGATCTATATGATTCAGGCAACCAAATGTCTAAAAGCTTGCAATATTATATTTTCAGTTTCACTTACCTGAATCTGATTGCTGATTTTTTGGGCCCTTTAATACTGAGACATTGTTGCCCCTAGGTGTTTACCACACATTAGACATGTCTTGAAGCTTTTCTTTCAGAAACTTATTACTTATCTGATTTTTAGGTTCCTTTTGGTTCTCTTCATTTCCTTTCATTAGTGATTTTGTGTTCCAAAAAACACCTTTAAGGTTTTGTTCATTTCCATTGAAGAGTAACCTCAGCTACTCGTCTACATCTTCAGATTAGTTCCTTTTTTATGTACATAACCTCAAGGACTCCTTGGTTTGATCTCCATATTAATTACTTAATAACTATAAATGATGGCGACATACTCTCTTGCTGGTCAAAAAATTAGCAAATGCACTCTGTCCCAAAACCAAAACATTGAATGTTTTGTGGCAATTTCTTCATTTGCTACAGTGTCTATCCAATTTACTCATTGGTAAGATGAGGGAGGGATTGGATCTATTGATCCTTCCCAGAGACTTTATTGGACACATGGTTGGATTACATGTTTTTTCTTTTCATTTCCCTTTTGTTCAAATTGGTAACTTAATTTGGATGATAACAAAGTGATCTCTTGCTGCTTGAGAAAATGGCAAATGCACTCTGTCCCAAAACCAATGTACTTAATGTTTTGTGGCAATTTCTTCATTTGCCATAGAGACTAGCCAATTTACTTGTCTATAAGATGATGGGAGGGAGTTATCCTTCTCAATGATCTTATTGGATGCATGATTGGATTACATGCCTTGTTTTGATTCCTTTTCGTTCAATTGTCCTTGTGAACTTAAATGCATTGAATGTTAAAACTACATTAAATCGTAAGATGCATAAATTTGTAACACTGATCTTGGTTAATAGTTTTACTGGAAACAGAGTGTTTATAAGGGGCATTTTGACTTTTGTCTCCCTTTTTTGTTCATTTGGGACTTTTTCTTGCAGACTTATTGTATATTTTTTATTTGATGGAAGTAAATTGTTATGGTTTATTTAATAATAATCTTTTCTACTTGTAATTTTTTCTACATTCAATTAGAAAGCAAGGCAGCTTCTTGTCTGGATACAAGATCTCTTTATAATTCAGGCAACCAAAACTATTAGAAACTTGCAATATTGAATTCTCAGACTCACTCGCCCGAATCTGATTGGGTGATTTTTCAGGCCCTATTCGTACTGGGATATACTAGATTTTTTTGTTGTCAAAATATCTCTTTTATTTTGGTAAAAATTTGCCTTTAGCAAAATTCATTGCTCCATTCCAATAAATAAATAAATAAATAAAGATCTGATCTTGCTACAGTTACGTATTTTTTTTCTGTCATTAGTTGGGATACCATTTCTCTTTGGCACTTGCTAAGATAAATGCCATTTGAAGTTTCTCCTGAACCTAGACCATAACCATGTTAGACCCCCTTTCTGATTGATACATGCGGGAATAGGGTTCTAGAATAGGAACCAGAATCACCCATTTTGATATTCCAGCTGTTCAATTGAAAAGATGGGGTTCTGATACCCATTCCTTGTGGAATGGCATTCCTCCAAGGGGTTAATGGCCATTTTGGCATCCCCTTGGGAATGAGAATCTCATTTCAGCAAGTCAAAAAATAAGACAAATGACTTAAAACCTCCTAAGCTCTTTCTCTTTGTCTGAGTGCAGCCTTCATTGGCAGTCTTGCATATCTTATGGAATTCGGTTTTGATTCCCCCTGAACCAAGTAGTTGGGGAGAATATGTGATTCTGATTCCAATTCTGGGATTTCAATTTTAATTCTGATTCTGACCACCACTTAAATGGACCCTAAATTATTCACGTGATCTTCAGTTCAGCTGTACTAGGCCTTCTCTAAGTTATTGGGTGACCCTGATTGACCAAGCTAGAATTTTTATTTGTATAGCTCCTACTTGTCTAGTTCCGGTTGTTTTATGCTCTGGACGATATCATTGGAATGGCACATCATCGTGTGTGTTATGGGTTACTGAGTGTTGGCATATCATTGAAACTATCAAATTGTTGATCTCAGTCCATGTTTGTTGTTCTTTTTTGGTACACCTGATTAGAGAAGTTGTTTGATGGTCACTTATCATTATAAGTTATTTGATAATGTTTTGCTTTTCCTGGTAGACTTTTGATAATGTTTTAAATGTTAGAAATCCTCACTTGTAATTTTTTGATATGTTAGAGCCTGTTTGGGAGGACTTTAGAGCTTTGATTGAGCTGCTGTGAAGAAGCTATTAAAATCCGCCTCACCAGCAAGTTGGTATCATGACTGGATGAAAGCATACTGGGGCTTTCTGGGTTTTCACCAAACATAGCTTTTAGGCTTTCCATGTGAGAACCACCTTGCAAAGCCAGAAGCTACTGTTTGATAGCCCTCCCAAATGGGCACTTAGTAACAAAAAGACGTGGCAAAATAGTCTAGAATTGTACATTAATTCAAAAGGTAAAAAAGTGTAGAGAAATTGTCTTCACGACTGGTTAATGCATTATTACAGCATAATGGGTATAAAAACTCTGCCAGCACAGAACTAGAGTACTACTCTAGTTTGTGTTATTGATTCACTATATTATCTGTATTCTCCCATGGCAGTGTCATGCCACTGCTACCTTTCATTTTCTAATCTAGTTTCTGGTAATCTTGCATACAAAAGGGAATTTATTAAAGGGCCTTTGGTTATTACTCTTAGGTTGCATTTTAAGATCTGAAGTTTGCTACTTCTGTATGAAACTAATGCTAAGTGGCCTCCCCTTTCAGGTATTTGGTTAAATTTCTGAAAGGCCAGTCTATAGCAGGCATTTTACTCTAGTTAATAAGTGACTGGATCACCGTTTATCACTTATTAGTGGTGCATATCCTCTAGTCTGTTAGTAGTTTAAAACATTTTGATGACAACAATACCCCTTATACCTATAAATAAAAAAAACAATACTCCTTGTACCTATGTTTTTTTTATAATTACCCATTGTACAATGTTCAAATAATTAATCAGACTAGCGAAATAGACTGTTCAGGCAAACATAAAGCAATTAGCTCAATAAAATCTAATTAGAGTTGAGAGGTATTATATTAAGCTACAGACTTCAAACACCAACTTAATGTTTTTTTCATTAGTAAATATGCGACCTTATTAATTAGAGGAAGAAAACGAGTCGGGTACATTATAAGAAAAAGTGCACTAGCATTCCCATAGATGCTGAATAGTATCCAAAATTTGTGCAGTCAGATTTCCATGTTCATCCATATGAGAATGATATCTTGAAATTGCATTTTGTTCGTTGAAAACTTTTTTTAGGTTTCCTGGAAAAGCTGTTGGAGTGAAGATAGCTGGTCAATCTGATCCAGCTGAGTCTGCCCCAGAAAAGGAGGCAAAGAAGGTGCATATCCTTATTTCCATCAGTTATTTACCTGAATTTTGCACAAAGTTCATCTGTTAAGGGTATAACATAGACAAACTATGATTTTGAAAATCATAATCATATCATAAATCATGGAGAAAATTGAATTGAATCTACTCGTGTATAGTATCATAATTGTCATATTATTTCTGTTCTTACAAATTTGTTAAATATTAAAAATATATAAACTAAAAGGCTAAATATATCTAAGTGATTTTACCTTATTTTTAATCCATGTATACCATATGTGTACCTAAAACAGTAGAATATTAGAATTTATCACTTGTTTAATCAAATTTGGCTTGAAAGTCAAATAATCCACATACAATGGCTTTTTTAGGCTACATATAATGGAAAATAAACTCAGTATGTGGTCTTAAAAACTGTGAGTAAATCATTTTCTATTGTGGGCTTTAAAATGTCTCCCTTGACAAAGTTAAATATAAGAAAATGACAAAGTAGAGAACTAACTCTAATGAATTGATTTGAATTAGTTAATCATAGGAATTAATAAATCATAAGGTTTATAAAGGATTCATGCATAAGATTTAAATCAAAACCCTTGGTGCTCATGGTTTGAATTGTGAATCATATAAGATTTTGACAATACTGTGATCTTTATGCATCAACTACTTTTTCACTCTGCATATCTTAATACAATGCATCGGGTGGTGGTTACAAATTCCCAACTACCCTATATGTAATATGCGTCATAGTTGCAGAAAGCACAAAATGGGTGCATGTATCTTCTCCTTAACCTTGGTTTTTGAGTGTGAGAGAGAGAGTTTTGGAAGTCAGGCACCATTAAGATGAAACAACACAGGCATTGAACTTGAAAGCTTTCTGCTCACCAGCTCAATAATCCAATCACTGAAACGTTTCTTACTTGCCAGGAAACTCCTGAGGGAGATGATGATGATCTGGATCTCTTTGGTGATGAAACTGAGGAGGATAAGAAGGCAGCAGAAGAGAGGGAGGCAGCTGCTAAGGCTTCTGCCAAGAAGAAAGAGAGTGAGTATTCGTAACCCTAGAACTCATTTGACATGGTTTGTCTATTTTCGTGTCATCTGTATTCTGTTGATACTGGATTTAAATGTTTGAGATGCTTGTTATTTTATTTGCATCACTGCAATAGGTTTTAATTTAATTCCGAACTTTTAGTTTGACCTATCAAACATAATTGGTTCTAGTTGGGCATAAAAAAGGACTGCGAATTCCCGTCGGTTAGAACTATCAGACATGTACATTGTACAGTGCCAGTTACGTATTTGTCCAATTTTCTAGTTTTTTTGCTACTCATCTGAATATGGATAACATGCATGAAATATTTTTTATTTGCAATCTATCAAGAAAATTTATTGGCCATCATATTTTCTAATTATTTATTTATTTACTATTATTCCAATCAAAGAGATTAATTTTTCTATACACGGTTGGAAAATCTTGCTTCAGGTGGGAAATCCTCTGTTCTTCTTGATGTTAAACCTTGGGATGACGAGACTGACATGAAGAAACTTGAAGAGGCTGTTCGCAGCATTGAGATGCCGGGTCTTTTATGGGGAGCTTGTACGATTTACTTTCGCTCACTTTACCTTTTTACTGACACCTATGGACATTATTAAGAAAATATTCCCTATTTGTTTTTGCTGCAGCCAAATTGGCGCCCGTTGGTTATGGGATTAAGAAGCTGCAGATCATGTTGACCATCGTTGATGACCTGGTCTCTGTGGATAACCTAATTGAGGATCATCTCACAGCCGAGCCTGCCAATGAACATATTCAAAGTTGTGACATTGTCGCCTTCAACAAAATCTGAGACCAAACCCGTTACTGTATTTTACTTATAGCTTAGCCTTTTCCCCCCCTTTTGAGCATGTAAGTTTTCTTAGTCCTTATTTTTAGATCTTCTCCACCTTTTACTGCGTCTGTGTTTCACATTTTGAGGAAGATGGCTAATATAGATAGTAGAGTTGCTTCATCATCCACCAAACCAAATGATCTTATAAAAGCCGTTGTGTATGGGATAAACATGATTTTGCGGTTGTCATGAATGTTGTCGATTTATTATTCTTAAAATTTCATTACTTCATTCTGCTGATTGCGACTCCAGAGCTGTTTTTGCTGTAATGGTGGATTCAGTGGGGTAAAATCTGGGTTTCATGGTTGAAATCTGCCCGTTTGCTGCTAGATGTAAACATAATAAGTAAGCCTTCCATCTTTTTCATGGGTATCTTTCTAAAATGTAGAAGCTAATGCTGGAACTTTGAAGGTGTGTTCTTTCAGATGTGAAGACATGATTCTTGTGTATGAGCCTTCGTAGCAAATCTGCAGTTCCAGCTTTCTTCAAGAGTCTGTCCACAACTAATTAGAATCTCCTGCAATCCTTACGTTGGTAGAAACCTTCCCACAATGCTGGCTTTCCGTTTTAAAATTTCCTCGAATTTGTCCCTCGCTAAGTCGCAATCCGATCACTGCCATCCCGTTATCTCCTTTGATACATCAAAATTTACCTTGATCTTTACCTCGTGATGATTTCGAACCTTCCACTTTATCCATTCAACTACTCTAAACCTCTTCCTAATTGGCCCCAATGTATACTAAGATTTGATATAAATGTATGTGTATAATTATGCATGTAGGCATATATCAAGGTTCAAAACATCGATACAGGCTGATACACTGGTAGGCGTATCGGTCTCTATTGGTGTTTTTTCTTTTCTTTTTTTTTTCAACTTTTTAAGAAACTGGATCAGAGGGGCCAGTTTAAGGCTGATCTACCCTCTGAACCACTTGTAGACCCAAAACACCCTCTGTAGGGGCATATCAGGAAGGGTTTGATACAACATGTATCGGCTGATACGGGCCAATACATGACGAAATTTTGATCCTTGCCATATATTGCATTGCAGGCTCAGACTTATTGGCCTTGATCTAATCACGGGTTGGGTTGGATTGGGGTTAGGTTGGGCATGCATAAGGTGCATCCCTAGTCACATTTATGCCTTGTTTTCAACTTGATAAATGACTCAGGTAAAAATGCATTTATACAAGGCAAGCGTTGCTTGGGAAACGCTTATTTGGATAAGAGAATTTATTAGTGCTCTTTTATTCCGCATCATCTAGCTTTCTACCCAACTCCTAACTTGAAAAAGCACGGAGGGATAAAGGGGCTATCGTTGAAAGGGAGGTAACTTTTATCAAAATAAACATCAGATTGCATATGGCTCCACATGTAAGATAAAAGAAAGTGATTTATGAGATTCTAAATAGGTAATTAATGATTCTCTTCTAAGGTTTGATGATCATCTATTATCTTTTTCGTTATGAATTGCTTACATAATTCTAGAGAATAATAAAAAAACTAGTATTATATGTACAATAACAAAATTATGGTGTTTAATGGTGCTCATTGGCTCAACTGGTTGATAGTTTCACTATTAGAAATGTGAAGAGGAATAGCCAAGTATTATTTTTAAAGCAAATAAAAATTAAAAAGGCATACTTTAATTGCTTATATGAAGTATGGAATATTAAGATGCATCCAATGCATGACATGGACACCCTGCACATCTTAATTCTTTGAAAATTAATATAATTATTGTTGATTTTATAAATATATAAATTTTGTATATTTATTGGGAAGTCAAGGAACATGCCCAGAAAATGAATGTGACAGAAATGCGAATGTTAAGATGAATGTATTAAAAAACTATAAATGATAGGATTATGAATGAAGTTTATTTGTAAGAACCTAAAGTAGTTTCAATAGGTGATAAAATGAAAGAGAATAAGCTAAGATGGTTTAGGCACGTCCATAAAAGACCCTCAACTACACCACTCAGAATAGAGCTGGATAGAAGAGCTGTCAATCAATTGGGGCTACCCGATAGAACTGAACCAAACTGATTATATTAGTTCTGTTTCTGAGTATTGTGTCCCAATTATAAGTAGATCAGGACTTATTTTTGCCATTCCGAACTGATTAAGGCCCTAACCGATTATGTAATTAATGATATATTAAGGCTCCATTATTTTCCTGTAAGTTTTGTCATATTTTACGCTTAAAAGGGTGAATTTCATACAGTATAAGATAATTTTAGTTAAAAAACTTGTTTTATCAACATATAAACATTTTATTATTTACTGTCATTTTTATTAATGTTATATTATCAAAATGAAGTTACAAGTTCTCATATTATGGGTAATTATAGATGTCAAGTATAATAGGTCAAATTGGGCCAGATCCAATTAACCCAATTAATAATTGGGTTGGGAGTTGGGACTAGTTTCACCCGGTCCCAGATGCACATCCCGATCCATTGACAGGTGACAGCTCTAGGTAGAAGTACTAATTCTAACATCACTAAAAAGAATGCTTCCTAAGCTTTTACAGCAAGAAAAGAAAGCTATTCCATGAATAAACTGAAAGATTTATTTGTTAACAATATGCAAGTATGTTTATTTTTCTTTTCCCCCTTTCTTTACTGCAATAATATAGCAAAAATCTACTTTCTGTGCTTGCTTTTTTGGAGAGTTAAAAGGATGTCCAGTGAACTGCATCAACCTCTTTACTGAAAAAATTGCACAAACAATGTTTTTTTTGTTTTTTGTTTTTTTCCAGTTATACATGTTGCCATTGAGAGAATCAAATGAAAGAAAGATGGAAGACTGGAAGTGGTTCTACTGAAAAGTGGGGTGGTAGTAATACTTAATAAGGGAGGTCAGGGAAAAGGAGTTCCCTCAGTTGTAACTTTATCAATAAAAGTAATATACTTAAAAAAATTTTAAAAATAGGTTAACTTTTTAAAAATAATATCAATAAAGGGCAAAACACTGTTCATCATCTTCTTCTTGCCAATTGTTCACCAGAGCCGCCATTCGCTGCTCTCCACTGCCGTCTGTCGCCTCCACCTCCGGCAACCGGAGGTGGCTGATCGAAAAGGTGGCGATGGCAATGCTGGTGATTACTCTGTCCAACGCCGCCACTTCCGACAACGTTGCCGGAGACGGGTGGAGACAGAGGTGGCGGGGCAGAGGAATGACCACCAGTGCCACCTCTGCCTCTGGCAACGTTGCGGGAGGCAGGGGTGGCGGGCGGCAAACAACAGCTCTGGTGAACAAATGGCGAGAAGAAGAAGATAAACAATATTTTTGCCCTTTATTGATATTATTTTTAAAAAATTAATATATTTTAAGTTTTTTTTTTAAATATATTACTTTTATTGATATCATTAACAAATGACAACGAGTAAAAGGTGTATTATAAGGAAAATCTAATGAAATTTTGGTGTTCCTGTAGGAAATGTCAAATCCAATGACCAATGCAGGAGATGTATTCTAAGGAATGTCTACTGAAAGCTTTGATGTCTTGTTTAAATTTTGGTCTACTAATTACAAGAGATGTATCAGATCCAATTGGAGGAATATAACTACTCCAAAACAAGATTAACCACTTCCTTCCACGAGCAATGTTAAACAAGCGTGCATATCAAATTTTGTTATTATGTTCTGGCTCATAGTAGTGCATCATTTACATGAGTTAAAAGTTCTCCTTACAATATAACCCACATGCATAGAAATAGAAATATAGGATTCTTGTAATTTGTTGCAAATTCCAAGATTGAATTGGTTGTCACGTTTATATGATTGATATAATGTGTTTATACAAATGGCTTTGGTTGTTAGACTGTATTTGTTTGTAGTGCAAATGAATAACCAATTTTGTTAGATACCTGACACCAATAAACCCATAAAGAAATCTTTCATCCAGAAGGCATGCTTTATCGAATGATTTTACTAATCTATTTCTTGATTATTATCTTTTCCTTGTGTTATGGAGTTTATTACTATTTTTAATGAATTAGTAGTTTTTATTAATTGATTTGGCCATGAGTGTCTTAATAAGGATTAGACGTTCAAATATAAATAGAAACATGGTCACACGATCAATACATCTTGTGGTTTAAGGTTGATAGCTTTTCTCAATTCTTAAAAACCAAGAACCCATGTGTGGCTAAATTAAATTAAACTTTAAGCAATTTCACAATCAATCTTCAAATATATATTACAAGAATTAATAACTCAAGTACTAAGAGAGACTTGTTGAACTCATTTGTGAAAAAAATAGGTTCAGCTTTAATTAATTTAGGCAGTAGTATCTAAATATAAATGGTAAAGTCAGTAACCCAAGTACAAAGGGAGACCTGGTCAATTAAGTCGTAACCCTTCTCAATATCCAATGACAACTTGAAAATCGAAAAAAAAAAAAAAATCCTTCACCCTTAGCACCTTTAGTGTTTAGTGAAGGAATTCCTGTTCTAATTCAAATCAGATTGAAACTTGCATTTGATCAATGGTAGTAATCGCAATATTGTTATACAATTTGAAAGTTCTAATTAACACTTATTTAATCTTTGAAATCATTGGCTTCCAATATAAACATTTACCCACAACTTAAAATTCTGACACAATTTGGTAATTGTTCTTTCACTTTTATAAGTGCTAGACAACCAAATGCAAATATTTTGTGCATAGAGAGCTTCTCCATTAACTGTTCTCTCAAGTACATATTTAATTTTCAAAAAAGGAAACAATGGTCTGTTTCATGAAAATGTTTCTTATGTTTGTCTGAACTGGTTACAGTTGTGCTTGTAATCCATAAATTCATTTGTGGAAATCTCCACTTGATGCTTAGCAGAAATCTTGTTTTGGTAGAGTGATGTCAGGTTTAAAACAGGGTAATCATATGAGGAAGTAGCAGAGTTTTTTCTTGTAGGAGCAGCAGAAGTGCAGAGAAATGCAGTGTTACAATTGTTTGATCAACGGTTCATAGGTTGCAGTACAGGATATGGAAAAGATGGACATATAGACCTCAAATAATCGGTGCCTGATGCTTAAGTCCAAATTTTATTTGAATTTTCTAAACAATACAGTAAAATTCTATCCCATATTGTCATTCTGGGAAACTAGAGCTTCTGACCTTGTCTCAAATATATCTCATTTTAAAAGGCCATCCTATTGAGGCAATCAGTAGTGTGTTAGCCTAATTTGATTAGAACACAGTCAAACTGACCTCGTCGCCCCTTCTGATTCTTCACATTACAGAACAAGCCCTAAAGATATACTTGTTTCTAGAAAGCAAGTTGGTGCAAAATGCCAGATGACCCAGCAGTTGTGAACGTAGATTCTTTGTGGTGTGGCCAGTGGGACACGCTTTTTCTTTTTTTTTGCTTTATGGGATACACAACAAGGGTAGCTCATCCCCATCCTCTTAACCCCCAGCCCTGGTGGCAGCTAGGGGTATTCATTGTAACCAAATTGGTAGTATCAGTTTTTGGAAAATCGGTAACTGAAATCTATCGATTAATCGGTTGATCGGTTCGGTTAACCATCGGTTTTTCAGTTTTTTAATTTTTATAACATATATATATATATATAATAAAAAAGTATAAATATATATAAAATAATAAATAATATATCATATATTATAAATATATATATTTATATATGTAATGCATATTTATTAATTTATAATATATAAGAATATATATATATATGTATACCGGTCGGTTCGGTTGACCACTGGTTTTCTATATTGGTTAACCGAAATCAAACCGATACCTTCGATTTTGTTAGAATACCGAACCGACCAGTTTGGTTAACTGATTTTTTTGTTCGGTTTTGGTCAGTTATTTGTTTTTTTTTTTACTCACCCCTAGTGGCAGCAGGATTCTATCCCAAGTCTCTGCTACAATAAAATCAGAGATCCTACCAATTGAGCCACAATTAGTTTGCCTCACTTGCACCCTGCTCTGTCCCACCCGTGATTACCCTTGTCTAGTAAAAAAAATATGGGTAGCAGGCATGGTTTTCAAAATCAGATTGGGCCATCTGGTCAGACTGGAAAAACTGAGAACCAATCAGGTGACTGATTCTTTTTTTACCCCAGAACCATTATTTTCCCAAAAACCGTTAATTTGGTCAACAAACCGCTGACCCAGGCAAGTGAACCGTTCGGACCGTTCAATAATTTAGCCAGTTTTTATTTTATTTTTATCAAAACAGACCATTCGTTCAGTTTGAACAGAACCAGACCCTGACCGATTCGTTATCCAATTGGGTTTGAAAAACCTTGGTAGCAGGTGTAAAATGAGTAGATGAAAGGGCGGTTGTAGAACGAACAATTCGTTCTGAAAACAATTATAATTAATTCAACCCCATACAATTGGGATATGGGATATGGATTAGATCATGATTATTATTTTTTAACCCCAAACTTTATTCGGGTGGAAAGGTGGCCACCTAAAAATATTATTAACCATTATGATGATGAAGTCCATGAACAAATTTTCAACGAAATGGGAGCAGTTGTAGAATTAGTAATTAATTCTAATTAATAAACAATTCAGATGTATATTAGTCCTACATTGCATGCGGAGACCGGAATGCCCTAGACCATTTCCTTGGCTAACCTCCATAAATAACAGGGTTCACATTCAAGCTTCCTCATCCATCAACCAAGTAATCTGTTCTGTCCAGTTCTTTATTGAGAAAAAAAAAACAAGTGAAAAATGGGTGCTCAGATGCTTGCAGTTGTTGCCCTCTTGGCGCTTCTCTCTCAAGCTTTAGCTTCTGATCCAAGTCCTTTGCAAGACTTCTGTGTTGCCATTAAAGACACCGACTATCCTGGTACATTTTCTGTCCTTTGTTTTTCTTCTGTCTATTACACAAACTACATACCAATCGTTAAAGACGCTTCAAATTAATGTTTTTCATTCTTTGCTATCACCTGTTGTTGACAATTTCGTTATTGTTTTCTGAACAGTGTTTGTGAATGGGAAGTTCTGTAAGAATCCAAACTACACAACAGCAGATGATTTCTTTTTTTCCGGCCTTGACAAGCCCGGAAACACCTCCAACCCTGTTGGCTCCAAAGTCACTCCTGTAAATGTGATGCAACTACCTGGTCTCAATACTCTTGGCATTTCCTTGGTCCGCATAGACTATGCTCCCTATGGTCTCAATCCACCCCACACCCACCCCCGAGCCACCGAGGTTCTGGTTGTGTTGGAGGGCAGACTCTACGTGGGCTTCGTCACCTCCAACCCGGACAATCGCCTCTTTACCAAGGTCCTGAACAAGGGAGATGTGTTCGTRTTTCCTGAAGGCCTCATTCACTTCCAGTTCAATGTGGGGCACACCAATGCGGTTGCCTTTGCCGGTTTGAGCAGTCAGAATCCTGGTACTATCACCATTGCTAATGCTGTGTTTGGAGCCAAGCCACCCATCAAAGATGATGTTCTTGCAAAGGCATTCCAAGTTGACAAGAAGGTGATTGATTACCTTCAAGCTCAGTTCTGGATGGACAACAACTAAAACAAACATCACTACCTAGAGATTTTAGTCAGAACCTATATATATATATAATAAATGTAAGCCCTTTTCAGACTTCAAATAAACACAATTCATTGTGTAAAATTATGGGTGGTAATGTTGTGGCCCACGCTGCTGCCTCCCTTTGGTGTGTCATTTTGTTGGTTTATTCTTGTACCTTCAGATATTGAAGAACTTTTCTACCAATAAGGAATATTAGTAATAATATGAAGAACTTTTTTATATTTGTCCCAAATATGTGAAGACTATGATGAATTTTTAGGCTTTCTGTTTGATTTCCTATTTGAAAATAAAGAAACCAGGGTCCGCCACATATTGGACAACCTAGATTGATTATATGTTGAGCACCTTTCACGTTGAAAGATATAAAGATCCACTAGCCCAAAGGAACATTAATGTTTTCAAACTGGACCATCCAGCCGGTTGAATTTATTAAACCAGGGAGGAGACCCATTTGAGTTGAACTGTTGAGAATGGTTTTTGCCATTTTGATGTTGAAACTTGAAACGCCTGGTTTAATCAGAACACAAGAATCCTGTTTTGATGAAAATCCAGTGTTTAACATATAAATTGCCTATAGCAAAACCTAAGTACTAACCAATAACCAAATAGATCCATACTCGAACCTACTATACAAACTTACAAGGGAAAGCGTATTCGCCTTCCACCCCTTAAGACTATATATTCAATCCTACTCACAACCAATTCATTTTCATTTTCATTTTTCTTTAGGAAACACAATTTAATCACCCTTCTATACAAGTTAACATGGCCGTCTTTTAACAGCATCACATGAATTCTCTAAGTGATGAAATTAAAGAATTCCCACCGCCAAAAAAAAAAAAAAATTTATAAACAATCACCCTGTACTTTGGGATAATGGCACTTAGCCCCTCAAAGTTTACTTTGCAAGAAAGAACCCCCTGAACTGTGGATTCTAACGTTTCATTCCAATGCTTTAAGAATGATCATTCCATCGATGATTCGAAAACAATTTGTGCTTTAGAAATGTTGTTTTCATTAATTTATACTTATTGTTGTTAGCCCATGGAGTCTTGAATGGGCAACTTAATAGTTTTATTTTCACAATCAACCCCGTTAGCGTAGGGGGGCAAGGTGATGGAATCTAGAAATTCAGGGTGGAGGGTGTTTGTGGCAAAACAAAGTTCAGGATGCTATGCATTATCACCCCAAAGTATAGGGTGGTTACCTGTAATTTATTAAAAATTCAATTGTTATTTTATTTAACTAAATGGAAGGGAGTGTAACTTTCAACAAAAAAAAAAAGAAAAACAAAACAAAAGTTACAAACCAAAAAAGCACATATAACTTCTAATCTCTCCTTTCATTTATTGTTAACTCCTTAGTCCTTCGTATATTTACATCGTTTACTAGCAGGGATAATAGGATTGTTTCCTTCTTCACTTGCTACCCACTAGTTGAATTCAGAAAATCCCCACTATAATAGAACTTTTTATGTAAATTTTTTCCTTCCTATTTTCCGAGTTTACATCTGTGTCTTACAAGAGGCGCCTCACAATGCTGGGAATATCTCCCAATAATAAGTATTGGAAATGATGAGGGAGATGTTCCCAGTACAAGGTGAGAATGTGCTGTGCGGCATTATGGGGCACAGATGTAAACTCCTATATATTCTCCACCTCAATGGTTGGCCCCCTATGGTCCGTTCATATTTATTCCCCCATTTTACTTTTTTTTTTCTATTTTTTTCCCAAAACAGAAACTGTAGGAGTGTATCAGAGTCACTTTACAATATCTATTGGTCAATATGGACTAATACTTTGTGAAATTCTAATCCTTGCATTACCCTTCCTTGTGTTCGGAAAAAAAGCAAAGAGAAGGCCATTTTCAAGAAATCAAATCTAGCTTATTCAAGCAAAATAAAATTATTTTAAGAACAACAAGTGACAGAAATAAGCAACTTCTTTTCAAAAAAAAAAAAAAAAAGATCACAGCATTCTAAAAACAGTAGCAAGTAGCAGAGTGCAGACCAAATTTTAATGAACCAAATCTGAAACATACAAGCTTTCTAAGAACAGTATTGAGCCACAAAATCTGCCCTGCTTTTAGGAGGAGAAAGCCATCTTTTAAGCAACCAAAGTCTGATTTGCTCAAAGAGAACGAAGATATCTTCAAGAGCAGAAACAATCTTCCAACTCAAGAGAACAGAGCACACATAGCAAGTCATCTTCTTAAAAAGAATAAGGGTCCGTTTGGTTCGCAGTTGGAACCAGAACTGGAATCAGAATCGAGATCTTCCGGATTTGGAACCGGAATGGTCCATTCCCATAGTCTGTTTAGTTCAAAAAGGAATGGGAATGGGAATGGGAATTAGAATCAGCAGGAATGGGATTTCATTCCCAAGGAAGGGGCAGGGAATGGCCATTCCCTCAAATAGGGGAATGCCAATCCAGTAGAAATGAGAATGTGATTCTGATTCCACCTAACCAAACAGTTGAAAATGGAATAGCCCATTCTGATTCCGATTCCAGACCCCTATTCCCACGAATCAAATAGGACCTAGACCTGGTTTGTACTCAAAAAAGAAAAAAGGAAAAAAAAAGTGAAGACACTCTTTAGAGTGGCAGGAAAGATATAATCATAATTTTTTTTTGTGAAAATATAATCATAAATTCTTTCAAACCTGACCAACCTGCCCAGGCCCAACCAACCTGAGCCCGAGCTCAGCCTGAATTGTGTTGGATTAAGCGTGGGTTAGATCTGGCTTTATATATTTGCGTTTGACTTTGGGTTGGGCCAAGCCCAAGCCTAAAGTTTACATCTTAAGGGGCATTCACTTTTGGGATTTTGAGAGGGGGGAAGTTGGTATGACCAAGAAACTCATGTTTTATTTATTTATTTATTTATGTGGGGACCATAGAAAGTTTATTTACCCATCTCCAATGTGGATAAATTATTTCCCATCTTGGGAAAGTTGCCAACACTTGGACGGGACAAAAATGTCCATTTTGATAATGAAATTTTTATGGTTAAAATAGTCATTATATTATTTAGTTAAAAAATAAAAGAATATGGATAAACACACTTACCTGGATAAATAACTTACTGAAAAAGTGAACAAGGCCTTAGAGTTTGAGCCTTGATTAACCCTCAACCTACCCACCCCCCAAGTTGTACCTTTCTATATCGTCCAACTTCTGAATCTCGCATAGGTTGTGATTTTCATTCATTTTTATTCACTTATATAACAAGAAATTTGGAGAGAAGATGCACAAGGAGGCATGGAGTAACTTCATAGTTTTCATCCTAGATCCTTGTAGTTAAATGAATGAAAACTCAAGTAATTTTTCCCCTTATTACAACAAAAAAAAAAAGTGAAGATCCCATATTTTATTCCATCTTTCTAAGCAATACAGCAAAACTGTATCTAATAATGTCCCTTTGGAAATTTAGAGCTTCTGACCATGTCTCAAGTATCCCTTTTAAAAGGCTATCCCATTAAGGCAATCAATGGAGCGTTACCTTAAGCTGATTACAACACAGTCAAATTGGTCTGGTTGCCCTTCCAATTCTTCACATTAGAGCAGGGCCTAAAGATATTCTTCTTTCTAGAAAGCAAGTTGGTAGGTGTAAAATGTCAATCACCCAGTTTTCAAGCAATTTAGATTAGCTGACTGCGATTGCAACCAGTGATAATATCCCACATTAGTAATAAATTCATGAATCATGTATTTTATTATTGACGTGGAAAATTATCATTGGTTTCACAGCCTGCTAAACAGCCATCACTTTCAATTAATCCCTTCTCATTGTCAAGATGGTCAATTCACACCATGGTTTTGAAAATGAGACTAGACTAGACAGTCGGATTTGTTAACCTGAGAATCAGGCAGGCAACTGTTCCTGAACCAAAAACCGTTGATTTGGTACACGATCCACTGACCCAGGTGATCGAACCATTAATCCAAACAATGATTTTTTGTTATTTTAATTTTAATTTTTATTTTTTAAATCAAAACAAACCGTCTATTCAAACCTAACAGTTGGATCATTCCACCCGGAAACTGATTCTCAAAATGGTTCCGTGTACCATGGTTCACTCCCCTCCAAATAGGAGGGCACGACATCAAAGCCATAGAATCAAGAGTCCGGTATGGCCAGTGGGCCGAGTGTACACCTGCTCTCCTCCACCCCGGATTCCCAATGTAATACCAAAGAAAAAATGTTGGTAGCAGGTGTAAAATGAGTAGATGGGAGCGGATGTAGAATGAGTAACTAATTCTAATTAATTCAACCCCATATAAATTGGGAAATGGCTTAGATAATGATTTCGTTTTTTCAACCCCAAGCTTTACAGGTGGAGGGGCTGCTACCTTACAATATTAATGATGATGATGATGGGAGCAGTTGTAGACAGAGAAAAAAAATTCTAATTAATAAACAATTCAGGTGTGTAGTCCTAGATTGCATACAATGCAGTACTAGACCATTTCCTTGGCTTACCTCTATAAATAGCATGCAAACCTCCTCATCCATCAACCCACCAATTTGTTCTGTCTAGTTCTATATTGAAAAACAATTACAAGTGAAAATGGGTGCTCAGATGCTTGCAGTTCTTGCCCTCTTGGCCCTATGCTCTCAAGCTTTAGCATCTGATCCAAGTCCCTTGCAAGACTTCTGTGTTGCCATTAAAGACACCGACTCTCGTGGTATATCCACATTCTGATGACTCTGTATGCCCATTTTCTTTTCTTTGCTTTTCTTCTGTCTATTACACAAATTACATAAGTTGTGCAACCCTAAATTTCCATATATTCAACAATTAACATCATATATACAATGCTTTATATTGACAGCAATATTCTTATTTTTCTCAACAGTGTTTGTGAACGGGAAGTTCTGTAAGAATCCATACTACACAACAGCAGATGATTTCTTCTTTTCCGGCCTTGACAAGCCCGGAAATACATCCAACTCCGTTGGCTCCAAAGTCACTCCTGTAAATGTTATGCAATTGCCTGGTCTCAATACTCTTGGCATCTCCATGGCCCGCATAGATTATGCTCCCTACGGTCTCAATCCGCTTCACATGCACCCCCGAGCCACCAAGGTTCTGGTTGTGTTGGAGGGCACACTTTACGTGAGCTTCGTCACCTCCAACCTGGATAATCGCCTCTTTACCAAGGTCCTTAACAAGGGAGATGTGTTTGTGTTTCCTAAAGGTCTCATTCACTTCCAGTTCAATGTGGGGCACACCAATGCGGTTGCCTTTGCTGGTTTGAGCAGTCAGAACCCTGGTACAATCACTATTGCTAATGCTGTGTTTGAAGCCAAGCCACCCATCAAAAACGATGTTCTTGCAAAGGCTTTCCAAGTTGACAAGAAGGTGGTTGATTACCTTCAAGCTCAGTTCTGGATGGATAACAACTAAAACAAACAGCACTACTGCTCCTAATTATAACTTAATAAATATAAACTCCATTCCTACTTTATTGTGTTAGTAGCTGTTGGAAGTCCTAGGGTGATCAAGTCTTGTGTTAGTTTGAGTCAGTCCTAGGCCTTGGCTTATCTTCTTGTTTTATTGATTTGTTTTTGTTCCCTCTCCTTTGAATACTTCTCTACGAAAAAAATGGCTTATCTTTACAATTTTGTAAAGATTATGATGAATTTTTAAGGCATTCTGTTTGATTTCCCATTTGAAAATAAACACACGAGGGGACACCTTCACGTATGGAAGGGTATAAAGATCAATTGACCTACAAGAACAAAGTTTTCATACTAAACCAGCCACCCAGTTTGATCCATGGTTTTGAAAATTGGACCAGACTGGACAGTCAAACTGGAAAATCGGGAACCGGTCCAAAAACCAATTATATTTCACCCTAAAATCACTTTTTGGCCAAAAACCATTAATTTGGCTCGCGATCCGTTGATCCGGATGACCGAATCGCTGAATTATCAACCTAGTAAAGGGTACTATTGGAATAAATAACCATGGATCCATACCCTTGAACATTTTCCATTCAATTTAGGGGTACTTTTGGAATAGACAAACATGGGTCCATAACCTTGAACATCTTCCACTCAGTTTAGGTAACCATGTTACTATTTTCATGTGGCAAAACAAATAATTCTTAGGGGGCATTCTTTTTTTGGATTTGGAGAGGGGGGAAAGTTGGTCAATGGGATATTGGTTCCCATTGACCAAGAATCCCTTGTTCTTTTTTCAATTTTATGTTGGGGGGGGGGGGAAGTTTATTTTCTTGGGTACCACTTACCCATGAAAGTGATACCCATCTCCTAAGTAGGTAAATAACTTTCCCATATAGGGGGAAAGTTTCCAACACTTGAATGGGACAAAATTGCCCCTTTTAATAATGGAACCCCCCCTCTCAGGTTCTATTATTAGGGGGAAAGTTTACTTTCTTGCATTTTTGCTTATTATTTGTGGGATTGGTTCTCTTCTTTGTTTGGTTACAGATGGAACCCCCCCTCTCGGGTGTGTTGAACTTTTTTGACTCTAGCTTCTTTTGAAAACCAATGAAAAGGGGCAGGTATCGTGGAGAATAACAAGAACTGCCATCCTATAGTCAATTTGGGAAGAGAGAAACAATAGGATCTCCCTAAGGCAAGAAAAATCCAAAGAAGCACTTGTGGAGGTTGTCACCATCAAGGCTATGCACTATCTAAAAGTACATCTCTTCAAGAATTTCTCCTCAACGAACTTAATTAGAAATTGGAGTGTTATAGCTATATCCTCGTCTTCCTCCCCTGTGGCACAAGTTTGTTGGATACCATCACCTCAGTTCAAGGTGAAGCTAAACTTTGATGGAAGCTCTCTGGGTAATCCAGGTCAGTTGGGAGTTAGGGGTGTGTACAGAAACGAGGAAGAAAAAGTCTTGGCCCTTTACTCAGGCTCAATTGGGGTGGAGGATTCATTAAGGGCATAAGTAATGGCCTTACTTCAAGGTTTGAAACTGGAAAAACAATGGGGAATGCAGGAATTAGAAGTGGAAGGGGACTCCAAACTGGTAGTAGGGTGGATGCAAACTAGAAACCTGGGAGTGTGGTCTCTTAGACAGCCTCTAAGAGAGATTATTAGCTTAGCAAGGGAGATATGAGTGCATTTTAATTGGGTAAGAAGGTCAGAAAATGGAATGGCTGACACTTCAGCTAAGCAAGGAGTTAATAGGGAGGCTTTGTTTTGGGCCAGTTTGTAAGTTTTTGATTTTCTTTTTCCATCTTTTCAATTATCTATTGAACGTTACTGTTTCCTATAAAAAAAAAAAAAGAAGTTGAAGTTAGGAAAAACATGGACTTAATTCTTTGTAGAGGGTGGAGAGCTTGCCAGAAAAGTTTTCCTTGAACTTGAAGAAAGGGAAAATTCTAAATTTCCTGATTGTAATATTTAGAAGGAAGCTTGTATAGGGTGGGTGCTCTGAGAAGATTTCAGAATTTTTTAGGTTGTAAAGTGTATACAACAACAATTGGAGTTAAAGCTCTTTTTTTTTTCTCAAATCTGAATTAAAAGTTTCCTACAGAAGATAAATTGCACGTTTAGCAACAGACTTGTTTAGCAACTGAATTAAAACCTTCCTACAAAAAGTTTTCCTTGAACTTGAAGAAAGGAAAAATTGTAAATTTCCTGATTGTATATTTAGGAGGAAGCTTGTATAGGGTGGGTGCTTTGAGAAGATTTTAGAATTGTTTAGGTTGTAAAGTGTAAACAGCAACAATCTGAGTTAAGGCTTTTTTTTTTTTTATCAAATCTGAATTAAAACTTTCCTACAAAAGAAGATAAAGTGCTTGTTTAGCAACAAACTTGTTAACTCCTTTGGTGCTATAAAAACTTGAGTTTGTAAAACAACTCAATTTTAGTTAAAAAGAAGAATGCCTTTGACATCACTTTATCTAATAAAATCAGTCAACTGGAAAAGCTCATAGATTCCCTGATGAGTCAGAAGATATGGGTACTCACGGTCAAGGTATGGTGTTATTGCAAGCCTCCATTTTAACATTCCACACTGCATCTGGATCATCATCTAATATGCATTGAGGCGGTTGAGTGCCAGGTTCCCTTTCCATGTAGCAGTCATCTGGATCATCATCTAATGACTGTCTGGTTTCTCTTGGCAGCAATTTTCCAACACATTTGGTCTACAAGAGCACTCATTTCCCTCCATATTCCGAGATATGTTCTTCATCTTGTGCATATGCTTCAGGTGACGAATAAGCAAAATAACCCCCTGGCCTTAGCAACTTATCTAGCTCAAGAAGACTTTCATCTCTTTGGAGCCAATCAATCCTATAGCGAGAGCAGTGAACAAACTCAAATGATCTGCTAGTAGTCCCCAAAACACCAAGATATGCAGGAATTCCTCTTTCTAGAGCAAACTAGAGAGCATAAGTATCTTAAATATTTAAATATTTTTATTTTTTATTTGAATGAGTGAAAAGTAAATTAGTTGTATTTCAATATAGGCAAGATCCATAATCAACAAATCTAACCGCTTTAAATGAACAGTTAACCATACAACAAGAGCAAAGAGCTTTGCATGAGTACACGAGGAATTGATAAATATACAAATTTGATTTGTTCATTATACTTTTTGCATTCATTGATTTTTGTGTATGTTAAAAATAATTACATATTGTTTTCATGGTAATAGCAAATAGAGAGTGAAGCTGATGTATCATGTGTGCAACATAGGAAAAAAGATGGAATACCAGTAGATGGTATGAATTAACAAGTTTTGAATTAGTGATAGTTTTGTATACTTATTTAAATGGTATGAATTAACAAGTTGTTTTGAATTATTAATAGTTTTGTATAATATTCAAGGAGGAAATGCAAAATTGCATGTCTCAAGATGAAGACACTCAAAATGAGAACAATGAACAAGGACATGATGATGTCTATGCTCGTGTGATGGGCCAAGAGTGTCTTTGCAATTCTTGTCTTATTGGGTGGTTTGATCAAGGGGAAAAGGGTTTCACCATCCTCTCCTCTTTGGTTGCAGCCTGCAGGGTATTTTATCTATTGTCTTCGACTACGTCCGGAGGCCATGGCTATATTCATTAATTACAAGATGCTTGGAAGAATAGAAATAATGCAAGATGCTTTAGGGCCATTTGTTAACCGCCGAAGTGATTGGATTGGATTGGATGGCTTATTGTTTTGTCTTTTAGTTGGTAAAGTAGTTATATTTATTGGTATGGCATTAACCTAGTGGTGTTTTCGAAACAGCCCAAGTTGAGGATGCAACTTAGGGTTGTCTGAGCCTGCCCAATTAAGTTGCACCCTTGGCCAAAGTGGCTGAATTGAAATATTGAATGACTTGTTACTTTATTCTTTTGGTGAATTGGACCGGTCCAAAATATCCATTGGATTGGATTGGACCTGGTCCATTTAACTTTACCAATACTCATAAAAAAAGTTTAACTTTGTTCTTTATACTTTCATATCTTCTAGCGTAAAAGTAATATCATTATTTTGTCTTTTGCAAGATATCCAATAGTCTGGCAAGGGTTGTGAGGGAGAATGCCAATGCAAGGGGAATCTACTAATTTTGGTTAACAATTTTTTTTTTATCTTTTTTTATGTATTTTTTGTTTAAACATAAATGCCTAATTGTAAACAAAGTTTCATTAATTATAATGTTGTGATACACCTTTCCATTGCAAAGAATGAATATATATATATATATATATATATATATATATATAATAGTCTTAATCAACAATATGGATGCTTGGTTCTTTTTTTATGTATTTGATTTGCAGACCGGATTGGAATTAGAATCTCTAAGAATTGGAATCAGAATCAGAATCAGAATCATCTATTCTTAACGTTTGTTTGGTTTAGTCAGGAATCAAAATTGGATTTCGCTTGTTGTTTGGTTCATTTGGAGTTGGAATCTAAATCAACTTAGTTAATTTATTATATTATTATTTTTTAATATCTTATAAATATATAATTATTATTTTATTATTACTTGAATGATATTTTTATTATTATATTTATTATAATTTTCTTATTAGTTTATTAATATTTTATTATTTTAAAATTTATTTATTATTTTTTAATTATTAATATATATTCTTGTTTTATTAGTAATAATTTATTATTTAATAATAATAATAATAATATTGTTGTTGCTGTTGTTATTATTATTATTATTATTATTATTATTATTATTATTATTATTATTATTTATGTTGTTATTGTTGTTGTCGTCATGAGTTCTTACTTCTGGATAGACTCTTGGATGAAAATCCCATTCCCTAGAGGGAGCCTAGAAAGGCCATTCCCCTATATGGGATGGGCAATCCCATTTCGCCAAGAATGGAAATTGAAATCCCAATCAGTCCAAACAAACAATTGGAATTAGAATGGGCCATTCCAATTTTGATTCTTAGCACCTATTCGAAGGGAGCCAAATGGACCCTTGGTTCTTTTGTTGGGTTATATTATTCTATTTTCTTTAAATGTTACTTTGTGTGTGGAATAAATTGAAATTGAGTCATATAACCTGGTATTGAAAAATTAAAGATTAATAGAAGAAAAAAAAGTTTGAATTCAATAGGAAATATGGAGTTTTAATTTCAATTCAGCAATCTTGCTTTTTTCACCCATTTCAATCCTTAGAAACCATGTCACAAGAGACCTGTTTTTCGTCGTTGATAATCTTAGAACTAGTGTTGATCATGAAAAATCAAAAAACCAACCAACCCGGCAATATCGAATCAAAAATTTTGGGTAACCAAGCTAATTGGTATATATTTTTCATATATATTTTATATTATCTATATAATATAAACGAATATATACGCATTATATATCAATATATTTATAATATGTAATATATTATTTATTATTTATAATACAACATTTTATATGCATTTCTAATCTTTTATTATGTGTTTATATATTTATTTATAATACATTATAAAAATAAAAAAACTGAAAAACTAACGAACCGAATCAATGGTTAACTAAACCAATTAACTAGTTAACCGACCAGCTTTGATTTGGTTTTGGTTACCAAATCGGTACTACGGTTCAGTTTGGAAAATTGACCCATGGTTCATATGGCTTCTCTTTGCCCCATTACCCAAACCGAGCAATTCTAGAGGGGTGCAGGACTCTCTTTAAAAGCCCATGGAATGCCAATCACCCCTTTTTTTGCCCCATTAATTTAGGAAGAAACTTCCTTTAATATCTGATAATCCTAGCCTCTCTTGCTTCCTTCTTTATTGGTTGTGGATCTTATCTTTTCTCTCAATTTTGAACAGTAAAACTCTTTGTCTCTCTTATTTTTGGATACTAAATAGGGTCTCCACCCCATTTTCACTTTTGGAATGTCATCTCTCCAAGTCATAGATTTGTCTATCTCCGAAACACATAATATCATGTATTCATTATATTGAACAAAAATAAGTTTTATACATAAGAAATAATTTTATCAATGATGGAAATGTAATACAAAAATTTAATGTCAACTTAGAAATCAAAATGTTTTTCTTTTTAAATGGTGGATTAGTGTATTGAGTAAAATGATACTAAAGACAAACAAAAATTAAGTGCGATTAGTAAAAGTATTTTATATAATGTAAATGAATTATATAATTTAAAGGGAAAATGTATAGTCTGAGTCGATTGCACATTTAAAGTTAGGTTGCAAGTTGATCCAAAAACCAACAAAACCCTAACAACCATCTCTACATTTCAAATTATAAAAGCCCTCGTCATGTCATTTGAGGCTTATGTGGTTATTGCCAACATGAGACTCGGTCCATGTTGAACATAGCAAAAAGCCAATACTGAAAATAGGTTTTTAGTTTCTCTCTCACTCCCTCTATCTCTCTATCTCCCTCCCTTCTCTCTCACTCTCACAGTCATCTTTCGATCTCACGCTCCTTTGGTCTTTCCCACTCTTCCATCTTTAGTCTGTAGCCAAATCAAAACCTATATCTCTTTCTATTTCATTCTTCTCCCTCATTCTCCCTTTTGGTCAATATTTCCTTCTCTCTCCCTCAATCTCTATCATTCTCCAATTTGTGTAAATTACATAGCTAAGAGTATCTTGTGAACTTTTATTAAATAGGTGTAATGATTTTTGAACCATATCAAGTTGGTCTAAAAAAAAAGAACGAGAAAGGGAGTGGGAGAGAAACTAAAGTAGAACGATAAAAATTAAAGGAGAAGGAGAGATTGACCGAGAAAGAGAATGAGAGAGATTGATGGAGAACGATAGGTAGAGAGAGAGAATGAGAGAAAATGATATAGAGAACATAAATATAGAAGCCAAAAACCATTTTTATTTATTTTCAAATCACACAGTCGTTGAACAAATAAAGATGACTATGAGAGAGAGAGTGTGAGAGAGTGAGTGAGTGAGAGTGAGAGAGAGAAATTGTAAACCCTTTTTTTATTTTCCAATCACCCAACATTAAAAGTCAATTTTGGTATAATGTTTTTGTTGTGTCCAATATGGATTAAGAGTCCCATGTTGGCAACAACCACATAAGCCTCTGATGACATGATGAGGTTTTTTATATTTTGAAATATAGAGCTGGTTGTCAGAGTTTTATTAGTTTATGGGCTAACTTGTAGCTTAGTTTTAAATGTACAGTCGACTTTGACTATAATTTCCCTAATTTAAGACTAATCATCAAACTTTTCAAAGAAGCTCATGATATCATAATTGAATAATAAATATTTAAGAAAAGATAGAACACCAAAAATGTATAGAATTCTGTCAAAAACATTATGTTATATATTCATCTTATGAAATAAAAATAATTTTTAAAATAAAAATTATTTTTATCATAAAAATGCATTACAAAATTTAATAACAATATTTGTTATTAAATGTACACAACATTTAAGTTTATTTTTAATAATAATAAACATTCGAGAACATTATGAAAAAGCAACAACAACAACAACAACAACAACAATAATAATAATAATAATAATAATAATAATAATAATAATAATAATAATAATTGTTATTTGCTACAAGTATTTAAGTTTATTTTTAATCATATTATTACTTTTGTTAATTTTCAATTTCTCTCTCACGTGCAATGCATGTGCTTAATTACTAGTAGATATAAATGTACACATGTACATAATAGGTGCCCTTCCACTAATGTTTTGAAAAAAGTACATAGGTAATATTTAAGGGATTCGTTCTTGCATGTATTGTAAAATCCTTGGTTAGTTGGGTCTATAAAATTAAACTCAATCCAACTTACAAATTAATGGCTGTAGGTAGATGTAGTGAATTGGGACTAGCTGTTAGGGTGATAGTCGGACCTGGTTAAGTTGTAGAGGTGTAAATTGGGCTGTACCGACATGTAGTCTGGGTCATCCTTGCTACCTTTGGGGATACTTTAGAGGTCTGGCCTAGCACGGATGCTGTGCCATGGGTCAAGCCTCAGGTTATGGATCACGACAAGCCATGAGAGATATTTTTAACAAAAAATTGAAAAAAATAATGAAAAATTTAAAATAAATTAATAAAATAGACAAAAATTTGAAAATAAAATTATATACATATTGGGTTGTGGGTAGCATGGCTTGCATACCGTTGTGCCGGGCCATGTGTGGCATGGTTCGATTTATAGTTCTTTTAAATTGGGTTGAGATAAGCACTAATCCAACATGACGTTCTGAACCCCCAACGCTAACCATAACCCAACCCAATTTGACCTAGGCAACCGTAATTTTAACCTAGCTCAACCCGACTCAAAGTTGATTTCGAGTTGTGCAGTTGGGCTGGGTTTGGAGCCCTACTTCTGACTTTCTGAGTTCTCAGGACCCTTCCATATAAATCACGTTAAAATTAAGGCACGGTGGGAGAAGCGGCGACTAGAGTTAGAGGGGATTTCAAGTTTGAAGTTTGGAACCCTAAATCCCTTTTGTTAGATGAAGGAAAACTCAGGTAAGGGGTTTTTTTTTTTTTTTTAAATTTATATATCCTCGTAAAAATGAAGATTTCACAATGACTGTGTTATTCATTCTTTCAACTTAAAACCGTTGGCTCCTCCCACAAATTTCAAATTAAGAATCTGAGAGGTCAATCTTCTCTTTACGTAACTCAGTAAGCAAGTAGCCAAAATGAAAAAAGAGAAAGGAAACACAGGAAGGCTTGGTTGACAGTTCGGTTCTAAATAATTTTATCAGTCAACTCAGAATCTTTATTTTGATTTTCTTAAAGTGATTAACATGACTGTCAATTTGATAGCTGAGAAGGGTTTTTTTTTGGCCTTAGTTTTTTTTTTTTTATTATTATAACGAACGATAATGGAAAATGTCTGGTCATTATGAACTGCTCCTTGGATAATGATGATACGCTGTTCAGCATTGAAAGGTTTAATACCACTTTGATTTAGTTTTAGTTATCCACGTTTTATCGTCCCCGAAGGACTACTCCTGTGTGAGATGGTGGTTGCAGTAATGCAAGCACTTGATCAGCCCAAAGCCTGCCATGCAATTTAAATGATTGAGTATTTCTAAGAAATGAAAAATGACTTTGTTATTTGTTTTAAAAAATTTTCCCAAGCAGAAGTCTGTTCATATATCAAATGCTCAAATGAATATTGTTCAACTTTCTTATCTCCCTCTGTATATATGGGTCTAATAATTGCTTACATCAGTATACAGTTATATATAGTCTACCATGTTTTGGTACTAGTTACTTACCTTTACTTTGTCTTCTCTTCAGTTTGAATCTATTGCCCTTGTAATTCTGTTAGGTTTAACATACTTGTAGTATTAAAGTTATAATTTAATCAGATGTAAAATGTCGTTTTATACAAGGTTCAAAATATTGTCATGAACTATACCAATAAATTGGGTATCATGCACATCGATTGGTCAATACAATTATATTTTTTCTAATTTTTTTTTTCAGCCTGATAATTGAGTGATAGGCTGATGAGGATGACATCTATCATCTCAAAGATTCACATTCAAAAACCTTGTATTTCATGTCTTTGTGACCTTCGAAACCAATACTGTATCAGGCATATGATCATATCATGTCAATACTTAAATCCTTGGTTTTATTGTTGAATGTATTTGCATGGTGTATGACAATTGTCTAATTTTCTTTGTATGTTGTAGAAGACTCACATGTGGCTAGGGTGAAGATGAAGCAAATAAAGCCAATTTCAATCTTCGGAATGGGAGGCATTGGGAAATGATAATTTCTTATAAATGTATGTGGCTGTTTGTTAAAATTAATTTTATATTTATGGATTGTGTTAATTTACGAAGTGAAGCTTAGATACCTTTCAAAATTTATTTCATTTATCATGCTTATCTTTGTTTATGGGTTGGAAAATTTTATGATTAGCATGCTTTTCTCTTTGCTTATCAGCTTCAATGTTAGGAGATGCGCTTATCTTTTACATTCTGTTTTCATCTAAGAAAGCCATTTGATTGGTTACTATCAAGGATTAAAATATCGACACGATATGTCCAATACAGGGCGTATTGTATTGGTATCGGTAGGGGAAGATACGGGATATGCCACGACTAACACTGTCGTGTTAGTCATGCATATTGGTTTGATACACCACTGTATCGATGCGTATCGCAATGTATCGGCCGATACGCACCGATACAGAGGCATATTGAAGTATTGCACAGAAAAGTGCTTCATAGCCTTCACTAGAAAAAATGGTTTAAGCGTGATTCGATCCCTGAAACCCAAGTCGCACGATGTCCAAGAGCGCAAGGATCTTAACCATCAAGCCACCTTCCATTTTGTGATAATAAATGAAATAAATTATATTTTGTTGAACTTAATTATTACATTTAATCTAAACAAAAAGTATATTCAATAACTCCAAGTACAAGTTAACAAGAATAATATTCAAAATTATTATTTTATAAACCCATAAAATAAATAATTTATCAAATCCACATATATATATATATATATAAATGATTTTTAATTTCAATATATTTATACAAATAAAAATATTATTAATAGAATAATTATTTTAATACTTAAAATTATTTATGTAGACTTGATAAATTATAATAATTATTTTATAAATTATTAATTAATATTTCAATTTGCATTAAATAACAATATATTTATTATTACAAAGATAAAATATTGTTTACAAAATATTTGAGAATATAATATAAATTGAATCTATCAAATCCACTAATCTACTTAAATATTTTTTTTTTTTAAAAATTCATAAAAATAAAAAGATTAATAATGAATAATTATTTTAGTAACTAAAATTTATGAATTTTCACATGATATGCATCTTCAAAATTTCATTTACATTTTATATAAACATATCTATTGTTTACAAAAGTGAAAGTATTATTTATTGAGCATTTTCGAATTATTTTTTAGTTAATTTTTTTGTTGATGTTAAAAATTGAAATAGTAAAATAAAAATAATTGATATAATAATTCAAATATAATGGTTGCATATTTTTTGTGCCTTGGATTTTAATAAAAATAAAAATTGATGCATTATCAATAATGATATATTTCTTCAGATATACCATTAAGATATTACAATTCCTATGTATTTATACGTTATTTATTGTTATTTTGACATTAAACTTGAAGTTATTAATATAATTATTGAATTTATATGCATTTCTTTAGCGTATCCAAGCATTTTTATATTTTTCGTCCATATCCATGCGTTTCCCAACCATATTTGTATCCATATCCAAGTTGTCTGATACGATACCTGATACTGATACTTTAATCCTTGGTTACTATTCAAAGAAGAATTATACTTGTCCCTTTCTTTGTGTCCCTCTTTTTTCTTCCTTTTGTGCTCTCTTTTATTTATTTTCCTAGAATTTTCTTGTTTATTGGCTCATTAGTTTTGTAGAATCATATCATAAGTCTGCCAATGTTTTGCAAGCTTTTTTGAATTGTCTTAAGGATTAGTGGTTGCTAGTTATTTAATGCCTTCATACAGCTAATGACATTAAAATACCTAGATTGAAAATTTTATTTTGGGATGACAAAAGCCCTTATTGTAACATGGCCTTCTAAGGAAATTAGTTTATAGAGTTTATGCTTGATTTACCTTTCTTAAACAAATATTGCAACCTAAACATCTTAGGGAGCTCAATTTTCTTTTATAGAAGGTTGTCACCAGCAAGTATTAACTATTAAATACTACTTTTACTACTTTAGTCTCAAAAATGTCGTAGTTCCCTCTTGCTTTTGTAATTGAATTCTAAATGCACTATAGTCAAAACTTGCAAAAATTTTCTCCTTGTGTTGGTCTATTGTTTTTTTTTTTTAAGAAATTGGTTTAGTTGTTGGTTATTTATTTTCTCTATTATAAGCAAATTCATAGGCAAACTTTCGGTGATTTAACTTTTCAAATTCTATTGTTTCTTTTGGGTGGAAGTCAATTCCTATTGAACAATATACATTGGGGTTAGTGGGGAAGATATTTGTTATGTGTTGGGTGGGTAGTAGGCAGGGCGAGGTTGGGCATGCTATGTGGGTGGGCTATCCCGCCTAGTTCCTCACCCTTGCCCAGTCTTGCATAGCCACTCGCCCCTGCCTAGTCCCACCTACCCCTTGTTTAGTCTTGCCTAGCCACTTGCCCCTGTAGTCCATTAGTGCCTCTCTTAATGGGACTAGTATTAAGGCAACCCTAATCTACCCATCAATAACCCACCTTTTTACCAAGTAGAAACTATGTAAAACCAACACTCCAAACTAGCTACAAACCATCAACTATGATAGTTTTTGTAGTTAATAGGTCATAAATGGCACCTATATATACAAACAAATTTTAAGTCACTAAAAAATCAACATAACTGGATACCAATTTTTCATAGAAAGTATTGTTAATTTTTAAATATGGGAAATATTAGAACTAAGTAGGAGGTCGTTTGGCTATACCTCCGAACTAAGTACCGTTAAAAGTGGATATTAATTTTTTTCTACGTAATGAATTCCAAGAAAAACTAAGGGTCTGTTTGATTGCTGAGAAAGGGATGAGAAAAGGGAATATTCTCGAATGATTCTCTCTTTCTTGTGTTTGTTTACTAGTAAACAGTGTTTTGGGATGAGAAACTAGAGGGACGCGGGATCCCAAAATTTAGTGAGCGGGATCGCACCATTTTGGTGCAACCCTGGTGAGAAAAGAAAAGGCTAAGAAAATCTATCGAGTTTGTCAGAGCAAGAAGTCGACAAGCTCGTCTCCCCTTCGAAGCTGCTGTTCCAACAGCCATATCTCCGGTAGCTTCTCCGGCCATATCCGTGGAAGGTAAGACAAGATCCATGAATCCCTCTCTCTAGCGGTCGTGTTCTACCATTTTTTTGTTGTTTTTCGTTCCATTATTCCATACCTCCGCAAGTCGGTTCCACCCGAAGATGCTCAGAGAGTATTGAGTTTCCTTTGTGCCTCCAACCTCGAACAAATTTAGGGCTTTTGGTTTTGGTTGCGGCGCTAGTCTAAGCAGAGGCCCAGAAGGCCAGAAGTTGTCTTCGTCTTTCCTTTGTGCCTCCATTAGTTGTCTTCGTCTTTCCTTTTTTTTTTCGCTTTTTTATTCATCAAATATTGTTGGTTGTTTAGTTGTCTGTGGTCATCGTATAGAGTTCTTGGGTTTGGAGACAAGAATCTAAGATTTGGAGGAAACGTTTTCAATTCCAAAGTAGATTTCAAGCGGACGAAGACATTGCTACAGAGGCTTAGCAACAGACGCGACGCTCTCGTTGAGTTAAATTTCAATTTGGCTTTCAGATTGAAGATGTGATTCTTGAAGAGTAGTGAGTTGGTTTAGGGATGGAAGAGAYGAACTAAGGATCCAATGATATACTATATTAAAGAAGTTATATTTTTAGCAGTCAGAGGGAACGCATTGTTCAGTTGGATTAGGAGATATTCTCATGTTCTAGTGATCTTTGACTAGAAAAGGGGTGGATAGGTGGTAGTTGCATTGGAATATTGAATCACTTCATTAGGGAGATTTGCTCTCTATATGGATGTAGAGGGAAGCTGTAGCATGACAGCCTTAGGGTGTTTCTTTGTTATTTCTTTTGTTTGTATCTTCTTTTATCTTGCTCCCTTTGTACTTAGTTATTAACTTATTAACTATACTAACAAATATTATTGACCTTGTTTACCAATTAAGAAAATGTCTTTATTTGTATAAGAAGGGAAAGGAGAAAAGGTGGGATTCMGATACTATGAACCCAATCAGAAAGAAAAGAAAAGAAAAACTCTATCAACAAATAATTTGGAAAGTCAACTACCTAACAGAGGGGAGACAAATAACAAAGTTATATATTTTTT